CAATGGCTGTGAACAAAGAGAAACTTGTAAATAACTCATGAAAGAATAAAGTTACGTTGAAACCAAGCACACCATTGTTTTTCTTGTGACATTACCAATAAGTTTGATGTGTCACATGGTCCTCTTCCTATTGAAAAAACAAAAGTTGTATCCAAGATGGCCGACTTCTAAATGGCCACCATGGTCACCACCCATCTTGAGGAGTTTGCCCCCTCACATATACTAATGTGCCACAAACAGGACTTTAATATCACCAACCATTCCCATTTTATTACAGTGTATCCATATAAATGGCCCACCCTGTACTTTAACACACTGATGAGTGGTTTGGGATATGGCCCTCATGGTCACAGTGCACCGCCCCCCCAAATGGACACACATGGCAAGATAACACGCCATTCTTGTGCACACGTTGAATCAAGATTATTTAAAGAATGTGGCCGTGGCCTCAGTTTTCTTCACATTACTCGCTCACTCTTCATATCTCAAGCATACAGACCTATATATATATATATATAAAAGGGGATTTTTTTTAAATGATGATGATTTAAGTGAAGAAGAGCCCCAATCTTCTTTGCATAGTTGTTTAATTCAGCCACACAGAAACATGTTGAGCATGAAAGACCTGCTTAAGATTGTGTTCTTTGTGGTCAGCAGAGTTTTTCACCTTGAAACTCTCCCATGGATTTTTCTTTTGTGACCTCCTAGATGAGTTGTTGATGTGCTCTTGGAGTAGTTTTATGAGGCTGGCCACTCCTGGGAAGGTTCGCCACTGTTCCAAGTTTTCTCCATCTGTGGATAATGTCTCTATCTGTGGTTCACTTGAGTCCCAAAGCCTTAGAAATGGCGTTGTAGCCCTTTTTAAACTGATAGATGTCAATGACTTTGTTTCTCATCTGTTTTTGAGTTTCTTTAAATTGTAACATGTGTTGGTTTTTGAGATCTTTTAGCCTACTTTACTTTTTCAGACAGGTTCTTCTTAAGTGATTTCTTGATTCAGCAGCTCTGGCAGTAATCAGGCCTGGGTGTGGCCAGTGAAGTTCACCCTCACCTTTCCAAAAAGTGTGCTTAATTACAATTCATTTTTGATTTAACAAGGGGGACAATTACTTAGCCAGGTAGGGTTGGATAGCTTTTTGCCTTAATAAATGAAATCATCATTTAAAAGCTGCATTTTGTATTTACTTGGGTTTTCCTGATCTAATATTACAGTTTGTTAGATGATGTGGAACTTAAGTCTGACAAATGTGCAAAAACTTAAGAATTCAGGATGCGGACAAATACTTTTTTCACAGCACTGTGCATAAAAAGGATTACAGAGAAGGGGGGAATACTGTGTTTCTTGAATTAGATTCATATTTGAAAAGTTTAATTTTGGTACAGAGATAGTGTCAAGTTCACATGCCACATTAATCACAGTGCCGGGAGCATTGCCTAGGCATCTCTGATGCATATGCAATTACTTATCAGCTTTTATTGAAATGACTGAAACAAATTTCCCCCTGCAAAGCAAAAGTCATGTATATGTCTGTGTGTCTCTGTGTGTGGGTTTGAAAGTCTGCGAGGCTGAGCTCATCATCGATCAGGTTTTGTGACATGCTATTATTACTTCTAAATAAAGCAGAAAATGGAAGCACCTATTTGCACTATACTGGTAGGGAATATAAGAAACATTTTGTGCTCTACTGTGCAGGAAAAAATTATTCTGATTTATTCTGCTACTTTATGTTGTAGCTGTGTAAACAAGGAAATGTGCAGTTATAGGTGATGGATGCTTGTGACTAAAAAGTGGCCGTATCTATGTGGGGATCATTTTCATGTTTTAGATGTCTGAGTTGTTGTCTCCTTTTAATCAACAAAAACCCTCAAACCTTTTACCAACTTCTGCGATACTTTAAATTCTCAAGTGGTTATCCTCATTCCCCGCTGAAAACCAAACAAAATTTAGATGTATGAAAAAAATTATTTTGTTTTTTCCTTCTTTCCTCTCCAGTTAATCATCTCATAGCCGCTTGTACTTATTTTGTGACCCTTTGCCAGAGAGCAGTGGGGATAAGGGAGTGGGTATTCAGGTTTTTCTTAATGTGCGGTGGAAGACCAGGGGAAATATTTTGTTTTTAAGGAGCCAGAAGTTCTTGTATTTATTTTAAAAGTCTTGAATAATTTCTTTGGTCATTGGCTGCTTTTTCACATATTTTCAGTCCAGTCCTTGTACCATACTATTTTCAGAGCAATGTGTTTGTTTGTTTGTTCAGCAACTTAAAACTGACCTATAAATAGAGCTGGGCGATATGAGATTTTTTCATATCACGATATGTTTTTTTCATTTCAGGCGATAACGATATCTATCACGATATAAGCCAAATAACTATATTTGTAAGATTTAAATGTGCCGTTGCTCACAAGTAAAATGTGAAATAATCAGCAGCTTGTTTTTATTTAAATATTTATTTCCCATATTGCACCATCTTGCTGGAAAAACTCAGGGAACGTGCCAGCTTCAGTGCATAAAGAGGGAAACATCAACACAATGGGCAGCACATTGATGGACAGCCACTGATGTTTCTTCATTAGTGACAGTTTTCTTGCGTCCACATTTTTCGTCCACTTTTCCCAGGGTAGATGTACTTAAGGAACATGAGACTTTTTCAGATAAATAAAGGCAAATATTGCAAACTACACAAAAGGCAGCCGCTAAAGCGTTTAAGTTTCAAAATAGAACAAACAAAACAGACTAAATTGTCAATTCCACTTAGAAACAAAATATTAATTCTAAAAATAAATCTTAGTTTGTTTTATAGAAGAACAGACAAAATTGACTAACTTTTGTCAATATCAAATAAACTGAGAACTAAAAGGAAATTCTCAATCTCTCCTTGTTGTATAGCTTAGCTTTTCAAACAGTTTTAACAGTTACTTTAGTCTGACAAAAGCCGAATGACGAATTAGCGCTTCCAGTCAGAGACTGAGGCTACGTCCACACGTACACGGGTATTTTTGAAAACGGAGATTTTCCGTTTTCGTTTTAAAAAATAATCCCGTCCACACATAAAGGCAGAAATGAAGGAAAACGCTGCTATGAACATGCCAAAGCAGCAGGTGGCGCTAGATTCCTAACAGTGCAGAAATGTTGGTCAATCAGAAGTCTAGAAGCCTCGGTGGGAAAAAGTAAACAAAGCTGCGGCATAGAAGCAGAACCGAGTCGTATGTGTGGCCGGACAGTAACTGTGTGTATATGTAAGCATTTAAACACTGCAGAGAGTAGAATTAACAGTATTGTAGAAATTCATTTCACCGAAACAATAACGTGGCACACAGTGTGACGCATGCACCAGTTTATTGTATTTCCAGACTTGCTTTCGGCACAATTTACAGTGCACGCTACTGTTTTTTGTCAGACTTGAAATAGCCGAAATACCTTCACACTACGGAACTTCTATGGCTCTTCCGTTCGACAATCTCTCCGGCATTGGAACCATCATCTGTTTTCTCTTCAGTCACGCTATTGTTGATTTTTCTAGTCGGCACACTCATTTCCTCCATTACGCGCTGGCTCCATTACCCGCTGGCTGCTTCCCAAACAAACACACGTGCGGCTTGGCACTTGTGCTGTACGTAACAAGTCACGTGACGTGACACTGCGGCTGTGATTGGTTTGGCTCTGCGCTACTTAATTTGGATTGGCTGACCTTTTTTTTTTTTTTTTTAAGAGGACAAGAGCGGCGAGGTCTATCGCGATAGCTTAATTTCTCTATCGAGTAAAAGTTATATCGCGATACATATCGTTATCGTTCTATCGCCCAGCTCTACCTATAAGGTTACCTATGAATTAGCATATCTCAGCATGGTGTGTTGTTTGTTTTTTTTTCTTACAAAAAAAACCAAAAGCCTGAGGAAACTGAAATAGGAAAAAATCCAGATCACAGAGCTGTCACGGGACCTGACAGATGTGGTCTTGCAGGATAAGTAGCTGTCAAGAAGCCATTTTTAAGAAAGGGAAACAGGGAGAAAAAGCTGAGGTATTCCAAATTACACAAAAACTGGTGTAAAAAATCAATGGCGATATGTCTGATGGAATAATGAATTGAAATTTGAAGTATATGGTCAGTATGAAGTTTATCGTCAGTTTGAATGGAAGAGAGGTACAACGGTGAGTGTCTACAGGCATCTGTAAAACACAGTGGAGGCTCTGTCATTGTTTGGGGCTGCGTTTCAGCCAGTGGAGATCTTGTCAATATTGATGGAATTATGAATGCAGAAAGTACGGTGAGATTTTGAGCCACCTTACAGTGTCTGATTGGCCAGTGCTTTATTTATTTTTTTAGCAATACAATGATCCCAAACGCACTGGCAGTAAAAGCATACCTGGTTAGAAAAACACCCAATGGAACACTATCACTCATGGATTGTCCTCCCCAGAGCCCGGACCTCAGCATTACTGAAGCTGTTTGGCATCAACATATTGACATATTGACTTTTAAGCTTATATACTGTATTTCCACGTATGTTTGCACATTTCAGTAAACCTTCCCATTTTCCTTGCAAAATATAAAGAAATTAATGGTGACTAAATATTTTTGCAAAGTACTCTTAAATTAACGACTTATATCATATATGTAGGGGGAGTTTGTTGATGTTATGGTGCTGATCTGTATTTCTAAAGTTCAAATGGAATTAAAAACATTTTCACTGCGCATCTCTAAGCCTTACTACACATAAATGAGTATTTAAAATCGTTTTAAAAAAACAATATTGAAATGGGCTTAAACAGCTTAAAAGGATTTTCCCTAATGATACTTTAGTTTTGGATGCAGGAATCTCCGCGCAAGTACAAGCGTTACATAACGGATTCCACTGCATACACTCATATTTCTGTTAATCTAATTTCTGTCTCGTAGTCTAACCTGGATGAATGCGTGATTAAAATTCTCAGCTGAAAAAAAAATCAGCATCCATTCCTCGCTGCTGTCCGGGCCAGGTTTTGATGCAGCGCCGCCACTTGCCGGAGCACTTGGATTGGCTGAAGGAGCAAGGTAGCCCGCAGAGACGGCTCCTTGCCCTGGTTCGTTCAGTGCCGTCAGTGGAGCGCTGGAGACGCGGTGCACGCACACACACTGCTCTCCCACTGCACGAGTGAAAAAGGGTTCTGCACAGACTCGGACTCTGCTGGACGGACTTTGCTTTCATGTGGGAGCATGAATTTGCCGTCAGAACATCGATCCACACCTCTAGCAAGTGAACCTTTAGAGGGAAAAGCAAGCGGATACAGATTTTAATGCAACATCCTCTGTGACAGAGGGCGATGCACCCACCTCTTGTTTCATAAAGTGTCACATGTTTGCAAAAACACTGCGCTGGATATATTTTGTCGAAAGCTATTTTTTCTTTCTTTTACGCCCGGGTTGTGAGGGTTTGTGGAGTGCTGCGCAGCGTAACGAGGGACACCAGCGCGCATTTCATATCAATTTCTCAGTGACTGGGACTCGCCTTAGAGCGTAGTTTGACTCCTCATCATGGGGTACTCTGCGCGGACTGACAGAGAAGGAGGAAGATCGCCGAGATCCTGTCCAGAGATGCCGACCGTATCCTGGCTTTTGCTTTTCCTCCTGGTTGACATCGGTGTAGCTCAAGGTAAACTTTAAAGTGTATTCTTCACCAGTGAACCTTTTGGCTTTGCTCTCAGGAAAACTTTATGAACTCTCGTGGCGCTGTTGTGGTGGGCAAGACAAAACGGAATCATAATTAGTCACACTCCTAATAGAAGAATACAGTGTGCCACTTCATGCCCCCGAAGTTCGGCTGTACTAGAAATAATAGGCTGTAGCCTTCATTAAAGCAGGCTGCCTACTGCTAAGCAGTTTTATGTGAGGTAAATATGAAGATACTACATCCAAAGAAGCCTTCACTGGGGGAAAAAAGTTTTTATTCAATAATTTATATTAACTACGCTTTGCCCTTGGAAACCAAAGCATCACAGCCCTGCATCTGTTTCTCCAAGGAAAGAAATGGAGAAGTGTTGCTTTGAAGCTCAAGAGATGCCCTTAATATTGTGGCTGTTGCTTTAAATCTTCCTAAACCGTTAAAGATTTTAGTGTAGGCACACAAAAAAATAGCATTACACATAAAAAAAAAAACGTGTTAGAAAACTGTAATTAGCCACAAGAACCCTGAATCACAGCAAGTTATTACAGGTAAAATATAACATGTAGACCATTACCTGCAGTCATATTAGAATATTCCTGTTCGGGCTGCTATTAATCAAATCAAGAAAGCTGAACTTCCATTCATTCTCATATTATTCAATCTTACTCAGTGTTGATTGATGACTGCTGTAATCCCCAAATTAGAGGTCCACTATTTGAAAACAATCAGATCATCTAAGAATGAAGAATGATCTCAAAGCCCAGTGAAGCTAGCAATGCTTAAATGATCTTGACTTTTTGCTCAGGAGAATGTCTAATTAAATAAGGAAGTTTCAGTCGTGAAGTGAAGTTTGCCAAGAAAACCTTCAACACCCCCCCCCCCCCCCCCCCCCACCCACACACACACATATCTCGGCAGCGAGCTTTAATGTGTCATTATGCTTGGTTTCAATCAGTAAGCAGATTTACAAAACCTCTCCTTCAAAGAATTGCCTGGTGAAAGATGTTTCTGTAAACTGCAGAGTGGCTGTCAGTCACAGAAATCTTGGAGATAATGCCACAACACCTGAAGCCATTTACTTAATCTTCTTTCTACCGTGCAAGATTGTCAAACAAAGGGAGCTGAGAAAAAGCCATCTGTGTTAGGATTTAGTGTTCACTATGTGTTTGTGCATGTGTATCAGACGCCAAGAGTGTATGTCTGTGGAATTAAGGTAGGTGGTCTGTCTTGTCTGGAATCTACTGTTGTCTGAATAACATGATGAGATGGAGGGGAGGGGATGGGATGGGAGGGGAGGTTTGACCATTTCAGATATACTCCCTTCTGCAGTGACATCATGAACAGTTAGGGTTTTTTTTTTGTGAGGCTTCAGTGTTCATGCAAAAGTGTTACAAGCTCAAATTGAAGTCTAAGCACATATCCCAGACAGGGGAAGAGGGTCTGTGAGCAACCTTATCTAGCTGCTCCAGACCTTCATCTCACTCCTACATAGTTAATGAGCAAGAAGAGGAAGAGGAAGAAAGAGAGAGGGGGAAAAACCCTAGCACAGGTCCAGTTTCTGAAGGGCATGGTGAGATGACATAATACCCATTCCAAAACCCCGGAGAGCCCTGTGCCATTGACTGGATGGGAATACGAACAAGGTTCTTATCTGTCCATTAAGAAGTCGATACACTAGGAGAACATTGTTTGAGCCTAATTAATGGGCCTCGCTATTTTGGGGCACTGATGAGCTCTACACATTTTCTAATCGCTGGAGAGTCACTTCTTCAGTGTAAAACTACTGGTGATCAAAGTGGCTCACTTACCCGGGCGCTCTCTGTAACGCTGTGCTTCTACTCGCAGCTCTTCAGACCTACTTTCTGTGGCTGTAAATATGTGTTTACAGTTTTTATTTATTTTTTGAGAGTGCTTTCTAATCCTCTAGACAGAGGCGAGCACCGGGAAGTGATCCTTCTCATTAACCTGCTGGACTCTTCAGAAAGGAGACAAGTTGAGACAGATATATGCAATGAGCTGCCAGGAAAGTAGCTGAGGGCTCTGACAGCAGCTTGATTTGAAACCCTTGGTGCAAGAAAAGATACAATTCAGTTTTTTCCATGGAGGTGTCAGAGCTCCACCGTACTGTTAAAGCTGATGGAGGATGTCAAGTTCTTACAGGGAACATATGGAATAGCTGCTCTGATAAAAGATTTATTGGCAGGTGTGCAATCAGGTTGTATTTTTAATTATTATTATTATTTTTTTAAATCTTGGAAAAAAACCAAGACATCTGAGATTAAACAGTTATTGTGCCGCATTCAATTTAGCAGTGGATCCTCTCTTTTCCGTCACATTCTGCCCCACCCTAAAAGTCCAAACTCCCTCACCATTGGGCTGTGGCTCATTTTAGTCCAGTTCACATTTATTTATCCAGGTTTATTTAAAAAAAAATAAAAAATCAATAAATGCATATTAACCATATATGCTGCTCAATACTCTTTAGTGGGTAACATGCATGTGTTGTGCTACATGCATGATAAGGGAGGGAAAATCACTTTTTGAAGGTGTTTCCTTTTTCTCGATTTCCTTTCATTTCCATGGCTGACCTTAACGCTGGCATTTATATAGTGTACCTCTTGTGTTAGGCAGTGGATACATGGGCGCTGGCATTCCTGGGATTAGTTCAGTTTTTCCACAGCGCTGTTCTCGTGCTGCCTCTCACACCATGTTTCTGTCTCTCCTGCCTCTCCACTTTCTGATGATGTGTCCTCTGAGGATTGTTTATGGAGAGAAAAAGTTAAAGGACAGCTATGGTTTCAGATATATTGTAACTCATACACAGTGAGGCTTCTTTGTTTTCCTTGTACGACACACTCGTTCAGCTTTTAGGCTACTTCTGTGTGCTTCGTAAAGAATGCAGGTAAATGTGAATGTTGTTTTTTTTGTTTTTTTCCCTGCCTATTATTATTCTAAGAGGCTTCCCCTGGGGCTGCTAACATTACAACCATAGAGGTCATTATATAAACTGGGTCTACATGCACAATGAGAGCATTGTGCAAAGAAGCAGTACATATAAATGACCTCCTGTGATAGCCTTTGCCATCAATGCAAGCTCGCAGTACGTGATATTTAAAACAAATTTATGTAACTGAAGGATTTTGTGTAAGTGAAGGAAATTAAGATTGAGCTGTGATATGCACAGGTGAACGAAGAGAGCAAAGTAAAAAAAAAAAAGTGTGTACACAGTATGGCTGTGTGAGGTCACAGTTGCATGCTGGTTGCGATTTAAGCCAGACGGAGCCTGGTAGCGAGTGATAATTACTGTGAAAAGTAGCTGCTGAGTTTGCTTCCTTGCTCTACTTGATGTCATATGCTATTGTTATGAACGCAAAAAATATACTCTGTTGCTATTTTGGGGCCGGGAACAGCTGTGGCGGCGGACACGAATACTGTCTGTCATTGCACTCAGGCCTGTCGTGAAGATTTTTTTGATTTACTTTGGTTATGTGTTCACATTCCCCTTTAGTTCAAGTCTTCTATCTAAGCATTTTTTGGCCAGTTCATCAGAATGCCTCGGTTTGATTATTTTGTGCCTTTTCTTTTCTTTTCCAATCTTACTACAGCACTTGAACTTTTACTTTTACCTCAGTTTGATGATGCAAATATGGCAGAGTACCAAATGATGTCTAAATCAGTCACATTTTTATAGATGGTTCACAAAGTGGGGTCTGGGGACCCCCGGGGAACGTGACCCATATCCAAGGATAATTTTCTATAAATAACTGAAGTGTTCTATATCATTAAAAACTGCATGTGATCAGTCGGTGACCATTTATGTCAACAAAAAATATTATGCCAACCAAAAATATTGTGTCCATTACTCCCTCCCCCATTATCAAAATAAAGCCAAAAGAAACTCTGACATTGTGATACATCATGTCAGTTTCTCATGAAACCACTCACATCTCTTAGGGTGTGGGGAACCATTCCTGCTGCTATATACTCATTAGCCAGCTTGCTAGCCTTCCATCATCAAGAGTCAAGCCAGTCGACATTTTGAGTAACACTAAGCCTAAAATCCCTAAACTCAAGGGGACCACTGGGATTTTTCTTTCTCTCCCTCCTAATGGGCCTAAAAACATTAAACTGGCTAATGTTTCAAATAATGTGTATATATAATGGCTCACTGGGATTACCTCTTTAAACTGTACAAGTTCAACACACAGTAATCCCAGTTAGTGGATATTTAGCTCTGCCCCACCCACCTTCTATTCAAACCTTCTGTTTGTTAGAGACAGCCAATCTGAAGAATGTGAGAGGAGTTAATACGGCTTTGTTTCCGACGGTGGATAAACCGAGGCACGCTATAAGATTAATAAGTAATATGTGATTGAATCATGCAAAGCTGCTCCAGTAGAATCCTTGGATAAACTGTGGACCTGGAAATGAGCATATTAAGACCACCATAATCTCCCCTCAAAACCACTAGAATGTAAATTCCTTATCAGAGAGTTAAAAACTTAAAATTTCCTATAAATTCTGCCTTGTTTTTCTCAACTTATGTTAAAATGTAATCCCTGATCATCAGCATAATAGAAAGTCGAAGCTCCTTGTAAACTAAACCTAAACGTTTTCTTTTTCCTACTGAGTTTTGTGTTAATGCTTCCATGCAGTTTTGATGTGTTGTGCTCATACTGCATGCCTTTAAAGCAATTTACAATTTAGCATTGCGAGTATACTTGATTTGCGGGGTGAATAATAATGTTCTCAGATTGCCGTGTGCTAAAATCTTGAAGTAAATGAAAAGAGATTTGGGGAGGGGGGACTTCAGAGAGGGACAGAAAGATTAGAGGTGAGGAGGAGGAGAGGGACCTCGAGGCAGGAGAGGGTAGGTGAGAGAAAAGGGTGAAAGCAAGATATGGAGTGAGGACAGGGACAGGCTTGGAAGGAGAAGAGAGTGTGTCATTAATCACCCTGTGTGACACTCTCAACTACAGGGGAGCTTC